CCAAATCTCTCCAGTTTTGGGACCAAATCTCTCCAGTTTTGGGATGGCTCCAAAGGGATGGCACTGTGCCAGGGTGGCCATGACATTCCCAGCACCAAATTCTTAAATTTTGAGTCCGGGACAATGCTTCAAAGGGACAGCACTGTGCCAGGGTGACCAGGATATCCCTGTGGTCAAACCTCTCCAATTTTAGGACCAGGACAATGCTCCAAAGGGTGGCACTGTGCCAGGGTGACCAGGCCACCCCTGTGATCAAATCTCTCCAATTTTGGGACCAGGACAATGCTCCAAAGGGTGGCACCGTGCCAGGGTGACCAGGCCACCCCTGTGCCCCCAGAGGGTCAGACAGACCCGGTTAAATCGAGACCTGCAGCCCTGGAAATCGGCTCCCGACGTGAACGGCCCCAAATCCCGTGGATTTCCAAACCACCTGGCTGCTTTAAGCCGCTTCCTTCCTTAAATAAAGACACACAATATGGAGCTAAGACTCCATCCCCAACCCCTGACCTTGCCTTGGCTGGGAAAAACCAGGTTCAAACCAGTTTGGCTTTGTCCCCTTTTGCCCCAAATCCCAAATCCGCTGTGAGGTTACGCAGGCAGCTCCCAAAGAGGAGCCCATCCCTCCTGCCCAGCTCCTCGCCCAACCCATCCATAGAAAAATGTGATTTTCTCACTGGAATTTTTGTTCTTTCCCCGAAAATAAATGAGTCACTCCCAGCCAAAGGGTGCTCGGGGCTCTGAAAGGCAAATTGTGAATAACCCTACGAGCCCACAAGCAGCAGGACTGAAACAATACAAACCTCCACCCCTCCTCTTAAATCCTACTACTGCTTTTTTTCAACAAATCCCCCAATATTTGCCTGAAAACTCCAATCCCTGGACAACTGAATGGAGATTTTATTGCCAATGTGCCTCTGATTACAATATATTACCGCTAATGATAATTGTCTGGATTAAACTTATCTCTTTTTCTTTGGCTAATAAACTTCTCAAAGACCACCAGTGAAGATGTAATAAAGTGCAGCTGTTGGANAAGAAAAAAAGCCATTTTTTTTTCTAGGTCAGAGCAAAGTTGGGAGAGGCTGGGGAGAGGCAGGGGAAGGAAAACCGAACTGGAAATAAGAAGAGCTCCTCAAGGCAGCTTTCATTAATCTGGAACTTTTCTCCCCAGAACCRGCGCTGGGGTTTATCTGCCAGCAGGACAAGGAGAGGGAGGTGCAAGCTCTGCATTTCTCTCCTGCATCTCATTAGCCTCAAAATGGACCCTTGGGCTCCTCAGAAATGTTCCTGGCCAGGGATGCACCTACAGAGGGGAGGAGGAGGGAAGGGAAGGAGCAGATTTTGTTCYTGGTGAGGGGGTGAAGCTCCCCCAGCACGGAACTTTAAGCTGGTTAAAAGCACTCGGGGTGAGGCTTTCCAGGTGCCAAAGGGCAAGAAAAGGGGAAAAAAAATGAAAATTTGGGGAGTTGGAGAGGATTGGAGAGGCTGGRGAGCAGCCAGGAGGTCGGAGTAAACAGCTTGGTGGTGAATTTAGGAATGGGCAGATAACGAATGGGATGGGCTGGGTGCCAAGGGATCTTTAGGATCGTCCAGATCCACCCCTTTCCACACCCTCCACCATCCCAGGCTGCTCCAACCTGGCCCTGGACATTTCCAGGAATGGGGCATCCTTTGGGAATTCCATCCCAGCCCCTCCCCACCCTCCCGGAGAGAAATTCCTTCCCAAAATCCCATCAAATCCTGCTCTGTCTCACTTTGACCCCATTCCCTGTGTCCTGTCCCTCCATCCCTTGTCCCCAGTCCCTCTCCAGCTCTCCTGGAGCCCCTCCAGGCCCCAAAAACAGCTCTGAACTCTCCCCAAATCTTTCCCTTCTCCATTCTCCCAGCCCTCAAGAAGCTCTGTGAATACACAAAAATGGCATTTCTGTCCCAAAATTCACCACCCCAGCATTTGAAACCCAAGGCAGCCTTGCAGGGGAAGGGACTGTCTTTCATTTCACCAACTCACACAAGCTGGG